AGTGGAGTTTTCGGCATTAGATGGAGATAAGAGAGCAGTGTGGTGAGAGCAGTGTGAGCTCAGAGCCTGCTGCTCGGTGCCATGATGGTCGGACAGCAGATGAGGTCTGCAGACGAGCCATGCTTTTGAATTAGTCTGCACAATAAACACATGATCAGCATGCAGGGGAGGAAACTGTGGGCTGCGAAAAAATCTCCATAATGTTTGGGTGGAACTGTGAGGGAACCGTTCTGTGTTGTGTAACTACAATGATTTTCTTTTTTTTCTAAATAATGTAAAAAGATATAATTTTTTTTAAACCAAGCAATTCTTGACATTTACTGAAAAATATTTTACGGATGAAGAAACAAACGTTTACTTATGATATCATGCAAAAACTATATATAAAAAGATGTTATTTAATCGTATCTTTATTTTATTAGACAACAGGAACATCATAATTAGGAGAGTGGAGACGCCAACACTTCACTTGTTCAAGTTGACTGATGACAGTGGTTTCTGTATACAGTAATATTTAGGTCGATGTTAGCATAATTATATCATACACGTAGGAATCATTATTGTTTCTTTTCTCCGATAATGAAAAACCGATAACGCAGTGTTTGGGTGCCGCCAAATGATGTGTGTGCTAAAAATATTTTTAGGAAAAAACGGCTGTATATGAAGTCACTTAATCATGACATTTGAAAACATGAAGAATGAGTTCCTGCATTTGGAATTTTTCTCCCTCTTTGCATCAGGGGGAGGTTGGGATGTTTTTCACTTTGACACAGAACCTTCCCTCACACGGACTGTGACAAGTGAGAAGCTATTATGGACCATTTCACAAAATTTCATAGGAGCATAAAGCATGAAGCAATACATGATGTCGAGCACGGCAGCATTCGGTGAAACACTAAAGTGGAAAAGCATGCACTAGAGAGGGCAACGGGGGAAAACTGTGGGACTGGGGTCCAGAGAGAGAGAGAGGGGGTGGGGTGAGAAAAAGGGCTAGGGGGAGAGTGGGAGGGGAGGGGGAGAGAGGCCGGGACGAGCCAGAGGCGCCCTGCGATATGCGGGGCGCGGCACGGCTCCAGTCCACCGGGCCTTGGTTGCTTAGGAGAGAAGAAAGTGGAGCAAAAAAACCAACCTTCCCGTTGATCTGAGTGGTGACAATTTTGATTGTGTTTTTTGGATGACGAAGGTGCAATGATGACGATGGAGGGTTGGAGAAAAAAGTGAAGGAGGAGAAGAAGAATAAAAGAACAACAAGAGGGGGCAAACCAAGGAGCGAGAGGAAGGAGACAAGGAGAAACAGAGAGAGTAAAACAGGCACAAAATCTGCTTATCCATCAATGATCCAGAAGAACAGACTGTCACAGAGGAGATGACTTACACACACACACGGACACACACACACACTCAATGCAAATGCAAGAAAGACTTGTGGAGCATACACTCCTCAGCAGAACAGGACACATCCAATGGTAAGATCAGCACAAATCAATTCACTCTTCAAATCTTTTTCTTTCATCCAGTCCTGATAATTAATGAATTACATTTTCTTTTGTAGACTATAGATTCCATCAGGGACAATATGACCTTGTTGGTTCTGGGAGCAGGTCCACACAGATGTCAGTGGAGGCTCATGTTTTCTAACAGACCATGAGATTTTAAGTCCACATTGTTGTTGTCGGTTTAAATTTCCTCTAAATAAGATTTTTCATTGTATTGTGTAAGATTTACCACCTGTGTCATTTTCTCTGTCTCAGTGTTCACTCTGCGCTCAGTCCTTGACTAATAAATACACAGTGATTGGCTGCCGTCATACACACAGACCAACTGTGTGTCTTTAACTCAGCCACGGAGCCTGGTGAATTCAAACAGCCCACTGACGACTGGACTTCATTAGGCACACTGTGCAGCAGGCGTGTTATTGCCCACTAACTCTGGAGGGGCTTTAGCCACAGAGCCCAGGAATCAATGAGCACATAAACACATCTCCTGACAGCCGGAGTCAAACACCCAGCCTGGAAACAGAAACATCTTTGGCCACGTGTCTGGTCCTGCCCTGAGACTCATTCATCTCCACACAGGAAGCCCTGCTAATTAGTCAGTCTGGGTTTTTTTTTTCACCTACCAGTGGCCATTAACACTGACGTGAGTGAAGTGGGTGTTTTAGCTCAAACACACTGGAGTGCATTTTTAAGGTGCAGGTAATGAAGAAAAGAATGATTAACAACTCTGCCTGTTGGTGGTGCTCTCCAGTATTTGATATCTGCCAAAAACCTCGTCCTCAGAGTCAGGTTTGGCTCGTGGACAAATATTTGATGATGATTAAATGACTCATGGAAACACTGTTCCACAGAATGGAGTCTGGAATTAACGGCATGACAGGAAACACTGTTGTTTTAGTGACAATATACCAAAACGATGACGTTGAAAAAAAAAAAAATCCAAAACAATTCTATTAGGGCAAAAAAGTTCTTCGACAGATCCTATCATTTCAGACAGGTCTTTCAGGTTCAGTAAATATATATATACAGTATATATATATATATATATATATATATACATACTCACATACAAAAGAGATTTTTACCAGCTGTAACTGTAGTATTATACTGTATTTGTGGCAGTAGTATTTGCAGCAGTAGTATTTGTGTCAGTAGTATTTGTGTCAGTAGTATTTGTGGCAGTAGTATTTGCAGCAGTAGTATTTGTGGCAGTAGTATTTGCAGCAGTAGTATTTGTGGCAGGAGTATTTGTGGCAGTAGGATTTGTGGCAGTAGTATTTGTGTCAGTAGTATTTGTGTCAGTAGTATTTGTGTCAGTAGTATTTGTGTCAGTAGTATTTGTGGCAGTAGTAGTGGCCCTCGTCTCATTTAAGTTTGAGAATCAGATTTTTTTGGCAAATCCTTAAAAAAAATCAAACAGGAAGGCTACAAGTGTTAATTAAAAAAATGGCGGTCTCCTAGTAGAGATGCAACAATTTTTTTTTTTTTTTGGTAGTTCTTTTTTTCCCATTCATTCAAAGCTGTGTTTCAAATCTGGTTGTTTCCACAGTGAGTCAGAGCAGCTCAGCTGAAGGTATTTCATCTCTGAGCAACAATGCTCCCAGTGATGGATCCTTCTGAGGGCCGACCTGCGTGTGGAGCTATTGCTCACTGAGGCCAAATTGGTTTTCTGGGGGGGGGGGGGAGGGGGGGTGGCAGCAGTGGAGGGATTACTCTGATAATAGATACAAGGTTTTTTTTCTGTAATTAAACATAAAAACTGAGAAAAATTTGAAGTTGATTTTTTTTTTTCATGGATATCAACTGATATTTTACAACATTCGAATTAACAGATCAACATGCCAAATACAATTTTTATTTGTTTATTTTTTGTAATAAATATAAAAAAATATTTCCACAATCATTTGGTTTAAACTTGTGACATTAAACATATAATATAGAAACCTGAGGAAATGATTGTATGGGTGTTTATTTTAAGAAAAAGATAAGGGTCGTGGACCATGGGCGAGGCCACTGACAGCCGTGCCATACTAGGATTAAAGATAGGATATGTCAGATGCTTGGCATTCTTGTTGTTGGGGGAACAGCGCCACACTGTGTTGTGCCAAATTGGAATAACTTCTAACTTCTGCTGAGATTTTTCCGTTATTTAAAGCTATCACCTAATGCTAAGATCTGGTAAGTGTTTTTAATCGACCTTTCGTTCACACACACATTCACAAAACGGCCCCATGAACCGGTCAGGAGACCAAACAAAAAGAAAAAAACGTGACAAACGATGAAGTGGTTAGACACAGACGCTGTCGTCTGATTGGAGGATAAGCATCGGAGACATGAACACAAACATGACCAGCGTGAGTCGTGAACGGAGCAAGAGGAAGACGTGACAAAAGAAAAACCTTCAGAAGAGAAATGGAAACATGAGCCGCGACAACTCACCTGGAAAGGTCAAAGGTTATAGCCAGGATGGCACAAATACCCGACAGACGCAGTATTTGATCATATACCATGTTGGCTGAGGTTCTGCTCTCGGGTCTTTTATAAAATAAAACACCTTTGTAGACGCAGCCAATGAAATACTTAGTTCAAGTTTTTCTTTTCTTTGACTCTCAGAGGCAATTTAAAAACAAAACTCAGACGTGGAAGTGTGGTGTGTGAGGTGTAAAAATGTACATCTGCTCATACCAGAATGATCCTTCTCACACTGAAACAGGACATGTTTTACACCTCATTAACAGATTCAGTCTAATTCAATCTCTCTAAAATTTGAAACTCTAAAAAACCCGTCCCGTGGGTTCAGACTGACGACGGTGTTTCTTAATGAACGCTGGGTTTTTACACTTCCTGCCTAATGATCCTGGAAAATTTATTTTTATGCTTTTATACTTCTGCCCTTCTGCCCCTTCATCCACACGTTACAGTCTGACAACAGTCTGACAACAGTCTGACAACAGTCTGACGACATACTGTAATGAACACTGAGTCAAAGGGTTGTAGTGTTTGAGAAGCTGTTCAACATTAGCGTTAGCAGTCCAAGGGCAGGATCCTGGACCGACTTTCTTAGAGAAACTACATCAAAGAGCATCGTCAATGTAACTGTCAGATGGACCAGAGCGTCGGAGAAATTGCCTTTGAGAACCTGATGTTGGTGGAGGTTAATTGACTTGTTTGTTGACAAGGTCGGCTTCAAGAACCGGCCCTCGGGCGCGTTCTCACCCTGACGGCTCCTCCTGGAGCACACGGAGCCGGATCCCTGTTCAGGAAAACCGACCTCCCGCAGAACCCCAGCCAACATTTCATCAGACACCACAGAAGTCAAACTGACAACAAGACAAAACAAATGGACGTCAGAGACAGAGAGCTGCGGGACAGGCGTCAACAGGTTCCACTCTGTCCAGGTCTGGATCCTGGGAGTCCGTTTCCTCATCAGCAGTCGGAGGAGGTGATGACCTGAGTGATAACCTGGAAGGAGGAAGGGGCGGCTGAGGTCAAGTGGGATCTTACCTCGAACATAAAGGTTAGCAGGGGCAGAGTAGCGGGTCCCGGCGCTGTTGATTGCCACACACTCGTACTTGCCCTGGTCGGACTCCTCACTGTTCTCAATCTGAAGAGCTCCTGGGGACAAAGGTCACAGGGTCACAGATCTGCTCTGCACCAGGCAAACACACACCCACACACACCCACCCACAAATACACACACACATCCAAACATACAGTGGTAGCTGTGAAATTCTAACTTTTCTGAAATGTCTTTTCTTTAAATCGCTGTTTGGCAGAAGGACCTTCA